TTCAGTTGCAGCCTTGGCTTTCCTGGTTTGTTCCCTGCAAGACCAGACCAGTGCAGAATAATCCTCCTTGGAGGTGACTCCCATCCTCCATCCTTTATAGGTCTTTCTTTTTAGTCTCAGGAGGTCTGCTAGATCCCTGGAGAGCCAGGGGGGCTGCTATGCCCTCTTGCTGCCTTTCCTCTGAGATAGAATCGAATTAGTTTGTGCATTGAGGATCGCTCCCTTGAGGAGCAACCACTCTTCTTGAAGTCCCCTCCCCCTGGGGTCATGGTTCCTTAGGGCCTCACTGACAAGCCTCCTGAGCTTGTCAAAGTCGGCTTTCCTGAAGTCAAGGACTTCTGTGTTGCTGACTCACTTGCCAGCTTTATGGCGGATGGTGAAGGTGATCAGCTCGTGGTCGCTGTCACTCAGCTTCCCATCGATCACTAGGTCGCTGATTAGGTCATCCCCCGTAGTCAGTACCAGGTCGAGCAGTACTTAACTTTTCAGTGTCAGGGTTCTCATCCATAAAATAGGAGTTAACAACATTCTTCTCCCTTGCCCATTGTAAGCACAAGGTTTTCTTATAGTACTGATCCTTTGGACTCATTGTCAAGAGCATTTTTTAAACATATTCATAGGTTTGAATGTTTACAGAAGTCAATGCCTGTACCCTGGCTGCCACTGGGGCTACCCTTAGATGGAGAGTAGTTGAGGGGCAACACCTTTAGCTTGCACAAAAGTAACAGCATGAAGGTCAATTAAACTAGTGCACTTAAAGCATGCTAGCTTCTGTAGTCAACAGCATACAAAGGAGTGATGAGCATCCAGCCACCTCTTACTCTTAGCCCAAACCTCCAGATACCCAGTTAACAGCTGGGCCAACCAAGGAATGGTCTTTGGCATAAGTCCAGAGTTTGGCTTGCACTCATGGATGAGGCCATAGAGAAACACCTTAATCATTTTGCTTCTGGGCCCCTCTACTCAGATAGGTAGAAGAATTTAACTTCTTATATCTGCAAAGCCAAGAAAGGCACTGGCCCAAGAGGGCATTCATTTGTAGGCACGGGTTATTCACAAGTATGTTTTATCAAAGGGAGCTAATGAACTGGCCATATTCTGCAGAGGAAAGTTCTTCAGTTTGGAGAGACTGACTCATTGTAAAACCTGCTGCACAAGATCCCACAGCCAGCAAGAAACCCAGTTGCCATGCTTGGGCTGGTGGATCACAATCCACTTTCACAATACTGATTTGATGTTCTCAGGCTCAGGAATCAGTAAAGAACATTTCACTGTGCTATGACTACTGAAAGGAAGGGCAAGATCATCCAAAAGTAGGGATTAGGACTGCAGCAGAAACACACAGAACTAGCATTAAGGGGCCTGGAATCCAGATTCCTTCTCAGAAGGAGGACAAAAGGTTCCCATGGCATGAGACTGGAGTTGCTGGCAGGCAGGGAGTATTTCTCTTGCTCCAAGCTAAAAAGACAAACATGGCATAGATGATGGCATTGACAGTTCCTTCCAATTTGGATCTTGGCTCCCCTCCCCAGTCCGCTGTGCGTCTCACCTGAGGTTCCCTTTGTTGGTGGCATATTTGATGTGGTTGCACATGTAATTGAACATCCCATGGGCTGTGGTACAGTCTCGGGCATCAAACACCTGAAAGAGTTGAAAGGGAGGAGCTGCAGAACTCTCTCATTCTCAGATGAGCACATGTATCCTCTATGCCAGGGCTCAGAACTACAAACACAGCACAATGGAAAGCACTTTCTGGGGCTAAGGGATCTACTTATCCATAGCTAGGTACCTATTTAGTGTCCGTCCCTGCTCCTGTAGTATGGGAGGACCTAATACATCAAGCCCTTTCTGCTCTGGGGAGCCATGTCAAATCCTGCAGAGGCCAAGACTGAAAGTAGTTCAGTGTTTTCAACTTTCTATTGCTTCTAGCACCTTGTCCAGGCTGCCCAGCAATGGGCAGGTCCACCACCAAAAGTTACCACCAGCTTTGCTACTGCCATTAGTCTCTCCTAAAGTGAGACCCGGGGCTGAAAAGGAAGTGACATAAGCCAGGAAAGTGAGGGGCTGTGTCACTGGGGAATCTAGAACTGGGGTTCATTTTCAGAGCTTGGTCTACTAGCCAGTGCTTTCATTTTTGTAGCCTGGCACATTTACTCTTCCATCAAACATTTAAGATAAAAAAAACCAATATATCCAAGCTTCCCAGTGCAGGCGAGAGACTTGATTTCCTATCTCCAGATCAGACCAAGGTTCAGTATGACAGTTTTATCTAGTCTATGAGCTGCTGCAAAGCTTTAGACAGCAGCTACAACCAAAATGCACAGGAGACAATTAATTCAAGCAATGCCCTCAACCTTCAGGCAAAAGCGTATCAGGCCAAATTTATCCCTGGCATGTGTGTGTGTGTTTACTTCACCAGAGATTAATTTGCCCACAATCCACTTTCACAATATTGATGCTGATTTGATGTTCTCAGGCTCAGGAATCAGTAGAGAACATTTCACTGTGCTATGACTACTGAAAGGAGTCCCATGCCCTTCATCCAAGGCACAGCCACAGTTCTGGGTAAGTACCACATGGCATTCAGAGTCCCAAACCCAAAACATTGCGCAGTACAATAGTATTGTCTCTAACTTGCTGTGTTGCAAATGAAGGCATCTCCTCTACAGTTCAGGCAGCCTTTTACCAGACACACATCTCTCCAGCTCAGGGTCATCAGAACAAATCCCTGTGAAAGTCTGGTACGCTCTTTGCATTTGCTGCCCAGAGCAGTATGCAATATGTTCATAGCACCATGAGAAAAAGTTTGCCTCTTCCAAAGTGTCTCCTAGGCTCACCAACAGGGTGTCCTTTTAAGGGCAACTTGTTGTTTCTAGCCATAGAAGAACATGCTAACCTGCAGCTTGGACCACTGAATCCTGCCCACACAGCGTGATGCATTCCGCCAGGCATGCTTTGCTCCATAGATCAGCTCTGTGTCCCGCAGCTGATAGGTTTCTGTGGCTTCAATCTCCTTGGTCACTTCCTCCAGTCTTTCCATGTGAGCCTTGGAGCCAAACCTGAAAGCAGGAGGAAAGAAGTAAGTGGCAATCACCAATTCCAGTTCACTAGAGAGTGGATCTTTCTGGATTCCACTTGTACATAAGGTTGTGCACACGTGCACGTGCATGCATGCATACACACACACATCCCAACAAGTACCTCTTTGGAATAAGATGGAAATGATCTTGAACTGGGGAGTCAGCAGTTTCCACTGAGACACAGAACAAGTGCTATGTGCCACACTATTGGAGGGAATACCATGGAAGGGAATCCCCATAACTGCACGAGGGTATTCTAACACTGAGACAGAGCACTATACATCATAGTCTTGTGTGTGTGACCCCGCTTGCATCCCCAGCTAACCACAGTCACAGAGGACAGATGCAGGATGCTAGAGCCCCAGGGACTTCTAACACAGAGCAACACTATTAGTGGGGTCCGTAGCTCCTTGTATTCTTGTGAAGCCAGCAGATTAAAAATGGACTAGCCACAGGGTACACATTCAGCTATGACATATAGAGCTAGTGGTATGCTGTTTCTTGCTTATCTCCATGCAGCAAAATTCACTTGTGCATACAAGATTGCACCATGTTTTGACCAGAGGAAATATGAAATTTTATTGCACTGCACATGTTAAATTAAAAAACTTTCCAATACTTGCCTCTTTATGGAGGAATAGTATTGATCAATGAAATCCTTAGCCAAGAGAAGCAGCTCCTCTTTTGTCCTGGTATCTTCCTGCTTCCGGATATGCTGGGAAGGTGTCATTATTGAGCCCATGCAGACCTGCTCTGTACACGCAGTGGCCTGAAGAGACAGAAGGGTGAAATATGGACCTTAAGTTACTCAAGGCACCAGTGGCTACCCTGACTTGGCCAGTGGGTGGAGATCAGCTGCACTAAACAGGGGACGTCTCAGCTTGGGCATCCTTGACAATATTTCTAATATTTTTATTTTCATACTTATTTATTAGGATAGGACCCTGACCTCAGCATATGAGTCAGGGGTGTATCTTATGCTCCCTGACCTACCCTTCTGTCAGGGACTACTGGGGTCTATAGAAGTCTTACCAAAACCTGCTGTAGAGCTCTACACTCTCCTTTATGTCTCCAAAGATGGTTTCTATACTGTCCTCAGAGGAACCAACTTCCTGCCAGCATTAGACAATTCCTTCCATTTCAGCATCTGCCTTACCTCCGGGCACTGGGAACTGCTATAAAGCAACAGACCTTCCACCTCTGTAACGTCTCAAATCCAGGCCCTATGTTATATCTTCCCCCTTACTACTCTGTAGCTGTCCTACATTGATGATCCTACACTAAAGGGGGAGCCCTCTCCAAAACCTTCCCCTCCAAAATCTGTATCCGACAACCTAGAAATCTGCGACTCAAACCAGCCATGCCATGCTCTTCACTGCTATTGGTGCAGTCATAGAATCTCTAAATTGGAAGATGGATATGCAATTTGAATGCATTTTAATCAGTCTTCACCCACTTACTCCAACAGCATGCAGAGGTCCAGTAGAACTTTACTAATCCAATCTGATGCACTCTAGTCAAGCCAATTAGATCAACTCATTCAAAATACTATTGGAGCAGGCAAGATAAGCTGAAGTTATCCTTCCTCCCTGTTTATCAGCCCTGTGGTACACCAAGCTCAGAAACTGTTGGTTAAAACATTTATTCCTACTCACCATTGCTGTTTTTAGATGCAAAGTATCATGAAGCACTGAACCCGACTCCCAGTTCTTGATTTTAACAAACCTTGGGCACTTGGAAGGGCTTCCATTCACCACATTTTTTGTTGGAGACTGTCTCCCAGAGGGCGGTGGCTGGAAGGAAAAATAAAGTTGAAGTATCTGGCTGCCGTTCAGCAGCAAGTTCAGGAAAACATAGGACAATATATTCATTTCTTCATCACGGAGGTCTGGATTAAAATCCTAATTATAGCATAGACAAGATGAATTATGTGGACTTGATCTCAATGCTCATGAAGATATGAATACTTCTAGGAAAGACTTGGTTAATATCTGATAATTACTCCAAGGGAATGAACAGAAGGAAGGCATTCTCCATAATACCAACCTTTCTTTCTGCTGCAAGAATGTAGAGCCAAAGATAAGCACACAAAAGAAATGAAAGGATTGCTAAATTATGTCCAGGTTGACTACTCCCAACTCATTCCCACTTCCCAAGTCCTCCTTCATAGTCTGTGTAGGAGTAGACCTACCACAACTGTGGGGAAAAATCTCACTGTGTGAGGACTGACATAGCAATGAATGCACATGGCCTGGAGGCAACTTGTAGGGACAAGATCCTGCTGCACATGTTTTGGCTACAACTGTTCAGATTTGCATCTAAGATTCTTTGGGTAAATTTTTTAACTTGTACATATGACACTGGAAAACCACAGTTCTAGTGACCTTCAGAGGAAGTCAGTTTCTGCTAACAAACTCCATCCAGTCATCAGCACGCATCTCATCTCAGAGTTTATCTTTCAGTAGACTGCACAGTGATGATTTCTATGCAACCGTTTGGCATTCTAGAAGAGAGTCTGAACATTATGAAGGGACATATCTGGTCTGAAGCTAGAACAATGCATCCAACCCAACTTTTTCAAGTGTGGAGTTTGGTAGCTAAAGGATACCTCTATAGAACTAGATCTGAACCACTTCAACCTTTGAGAAAGTTCACATTTAGATTCAGACATAGGATCTGAACTTTGTGACTCAGGTCTGCTCCAGTTTATACCAAGAATCAGGAAAAAAATCCTGTATTTATCAATATCCACTTTGTAATCAGTGCAGAGATTCATGCTCCTTCTTGAACATGTGAGGAGGCCATGGCATGAGATCATACACCACAGAATGGCTATAGTGACACTAATTTGGCATTCAGACATAACTAAAAGACTGAATAAAGAAGAGATGAGCCATGATGACAGCAACACTTGTTTCAGCACAACCAGCTTCATGGATGAGCAGGATGAGAATGTGATGGATCCTATTTTAAGGACAAGCAGATTAAATATTTTAATCCAATGTTAATGGAAGTCTCTCTTTAAATAATCCAGTGACTTCAGATTGAGATGTTTCTCTCAGATTGGATTTATTTTCACTTCCACATTTAAATATAGAGAAAAAAACCCTGTCTCTACTCTTCACTCACTCGACACAGCTGACAGGCCCACTAGCTGTGGAGATAACTAGTGATGGACCCCCAGCTAGCAGTTCAAGCCACCAAAGAACGGGCTTACATTCTAATGCTCACCAAGGACTCCACAGCCAGACATTTCAAGCTGAATCAGCTTTAAATCTGCAGTAGCAATTACAAGAGCTAGAGCTGTCTACCATGCTTTGTGTTTCGCAGACATACATCCAGTTCTGCTCTTGGTCATGCTGCTGAAAACCTCAAACAACTTTGCTCTTCTCCAGGTAACAACATCATTTCTATACGGAACTGAGAGCAGTCTTTGCCCCTGGGTAGACTGCTATTTCACTTAGGAAAACAGCTCTTATTTTACAGAAGAACATAAGCCCTTACCAGATAACTGCAATACTGTCAAAGCCTTTTACTATATTTCCTATAGAGAAATGATCAGGAATCATATTCAAGTATATTTAAGAATACCCTTTCATGGCTTGGACTCCTTAGGTTGGCTAGATAACGGCAGAGCAAGATAGCTAGCCATGTTAGTCTGAAGTCAGGAGGAAGGCAGGGTAGATTTGCACTGTACAGACTAAATACATCAGAGATATATAGCATAAGTTTTTATCAGCAGAAGGCTTACTTCATCAGATAACGGGCACATCTACACAAGACGCTAAATATGAAGTAACCTAATACTACTGCTCAGTAGCATGTTACATCAAAAACAGTGCTAATACGCTACTGTGCAGTAGCATTAGACTACAGCTCAGTAGCATCACTAAAAAGGTGTGCGGTGATGCTACTGTACAGTAGCACTGGTTACAGTACATTGATTTAGTATTTTGTTATACAAGTACTAAACTTAATGCACAGTAACTACAGCACATTAACGAAAGTGTGGATATGCCCACTGACAGTGATATTGGTAATGGCAGCCACAATACTATGTTGGTCAATTTAAAGCGACTCTTAAAAAAAAAAAAAAAATCACACCAAGCACTGGCTACCTTCTGATGATTATTACTACATATAATAAGAAAGAAGGAAGCTACATAGGTTTATGATTTTAAATCATGCTGTGTCCATAGATTCTGGATTCGCCCTCTACAACTATGCTTGCTCTGCTGTACTGCCTGTGATCTGTGTATCTTGGTGGTCTGCATATCCAGCTCCCACAATACTTGGGATGACTGTTTCTTAAAGTCCCAGCTCCTATCACTTTGGGATTACATGAGAATTTCTGGTTTCCCTTTCTCAAAAAACTATGTTTAGAGTCAAACATACTGGTACCTGCCTTTCCTTTGGATCAAACCTGCAAAACTGAGAGGGGGACACTGGAGTGCGGGCAGCTCAGTGTCTTCATATTCACTGCTCAGGCTTTTGTACTCTGGAAAAGTGGATCTAGCTTTGCTTTATCTTTTGAGTGAGAATTACATTCAGTGAGCTGATGTCTCACTTGGCATAATTCTATTGTCTTGCGAGAGACAGATGCCTACTATTACTACGTTTAGAGCTTTTGTCATTCCAGAAAACACCTTTACAAAGCGGTCCCCAAAGTTTCAGAATCTGAAAGCAAATAAAAAGAACCCCAAAAATTAACTGTAAAGTCTTATAATTTTTTAGTGCCGTTTAAGGGACCAGGCTTATGATTGGTAGGGGCAGCAGCCTTCATGTGCATTTTTCAGCTAAGTTAGTCAACTTTAGGGCCAGGGCCAGGGCCAGGGCCACTGTTATATTCTCACTGAATTCAAATGGAGTGCACCACCATAACGGAAAAGCAAATTTTGCCATTTACAATCCCGGGGATCTTCACTCCATAAAAGTGCATCAAAATGATGATTTCCCTATTTACTGGAAGCCTGTCATTCTCCTATCAAGGGGCTGCCAACAATGATGAACAACACACAAATACAAACAAGTTTCCTTTATGTGTCCCTGCTGCTAGACAAATTGCTGCAAATTAGTAAATGCCCCAGGGATTACTATGAAAATTCATGCTTATTGAATGCAGGCAGCCCCCACGCTGAAACACCCTTGTGCCCCAGCCAGCTCGGTCAGCATCTACATGTGCGGTGCTGCAAAGTAAAACCTTCTCAGCAGGATAGTACTTGTATTCACAAGTACTACCCTGCTGCAGAGCTTATTACTTTACTCCAGCCTAATAGCCCTGCACAATGTAGATGCTGAGACTTCACTGCAGAGCTAATTAGTCTACTCCACAGTAAACATCTTGTGTAGATGTGCCTTGCTATTTCTAACCGAGTAAGGTACTCCTGGTATTCCCCAGATTCTTCAGTGTTTTGTAAATCCAACGCACTTGAGCTAAGAAGTTCTACCAGCAAAGCGATGTTAGCTCAGGATGTGAAACATCACACAAATATAGCTCTATTGGCCAACGCCTGGTGTGTGGTTCTGCTGACAGGAAGAAGCTTTTGCTGTTCAGGGGATCTGGTATAATTCTGGCAACAGAAAAGCCCCTTCTGCCAGTAAAGTTGTGTCTACACAAAGGCCCTGACCATCCTAGTGCCATCATTATAGTTAAATCAGCAGCAGCACTCCTGTAGTAGAGACCTGGCCCCTGTCTTCAGAAATGTCTAAACCAAACAACTGGCTACAAATATTAATAGACTTCAGGGCGTTTGAAACATGGATCCAAATAATCTAGTGTGAGCCTGTCTCAGATGCTCAGTGTTGCCTTTTCAAAGTTTCCCCTGTAGAAACTTTGCAGAGTGAGAAACTTAGGTGAGAGGCAGAGATTCATCAGCTCTCACTGAGCAGGGAAAGATGTGTCCTGTGATCTCCTAGGCAATGGCACTAATGAGAGGCTGAATTGTTTGGATTTGAAACTGCATACAGTGTGTCCATAAATGAACTGACAACCAAGAGAAAAGGGCAAAGTGCTCTAAGCCTGTCCTCTCAGGCTTTCATTGGATTGCATTTTTGAAACCAAACAGTATCCATGGCTCTGTCAGAGCGGTTATATTCAATCCTTTTATGTTTTAATTAGGTAGCAGAAATATTAGTCACTCAAGAGCGGGGCAAATGGAGAGATTAATGTAGCAGTCAGGGGTGCGCATGCATTATGCAAAAGACTTTTACAATGGAGCATGTTGGTACTTATCATAAGTGTGCAGATTAGTGAGCCTTCTGACGTTGTTACATATGTATGCGAGAGTGCCATCCAGCCCCCTGCGTATTTGCTTTGCTTGGCTGGGCATCTGACAGGGAAAAAGTGGAGGTGGGTCATTGGTTTGTGCTAGCACAAACAGGCTGTACTTTAGGGAATATCCTTGAGAGCAGAGAAGGCTACAACCTTGTTCCCCTGAAATACTAAAGGAAGCCCCACTACCAGAGGTATTTCATGGTGGGAAGGATGTGGAGAAGGGCAATCTAACCAAGAATGGAGGCTGGCTAACATGTTTTTATTCCCTGACAAACAGGTTCATGGGAGCCATTGCAACTGTGCTGCAATACAGGGGTCTGTCAGTAGTGTGTGAGGGGCTGGACTGCCCCCAGTGGCTTGCAAGTCAGTGATATAAATTATATCCTTTGCCTCTATAATAGCCTATGGATCTGGGAGCAAAGTGCTCATGCTGGTTGTGGCTTTTTCCTCCTTTGCTTTATCCTGTAGTACAGGGTGATGGAGAATTAGACCCCATGGTTTTGATCTAAGATAGGCTTG